ATTCACCGTCGCTTGACACTTTGGGCCCGTGCTCAGCGACCGTGAATTTAAAAAAAAATATTCCGTGGGGGGGGATAATCTGGCCGTGGATAATCAAGAGATAACTGAACGTACAGTGGCTCTGTTTCCCTTGTTCAAGCTGGTTTTATGCCACACACGCAAACTGTGAATGCGTTCCTGGCGGCTGCCCAAAGAAACCTGTGTTATAAACAAGTTGGGGGGGGACCTTGCATACACGGGCGTCCTGTAACGTGTCCCGACATGTGTTTGTGTATCTTCTTGGTTCTTTCGGTAAAGTCACGTGGAATGGAAATAATAAAATAATAAAAATAAAACATAATAAAATACAATTCTCACGACGTTTCGGCCACAACGCAAGCAGCCGTCCTCAGGTGGAGAGCAGGTCTGTACAGGAGACAGAGTCTGAATGACTCAGACTCTGTCTACCGTGGCCGAAACGTCGTGAGAATTATTTGATGATGTTTCATTTTTATTATTTTATTATTTCCATTCTACGTGACTTTACCGAAAGAACCAAGAAGATGAATCCCTGCAGTCACGAAAGCTTTAAATCGAAATGTGTTTGTGTATTTAATTAGCGGTACGGAAAGGCAACTTTGTAGCTGCCAGGGCAAAAACACATTTGGCACATTTGCAAATATGTAAAAAAAAAGCTTGGTTTGTGTCTCCACGTTTGCAGCGAGGCTCTGATGGACGTGGCTGGTTTGTATCAACGTATTTGTCAAACTTCTTTCGCACCGCACGTAGCCAACCGTGCTAAACGCACGAACGTTGAGTTTTCACATTGGAACATCTTCGCCGTTAGGGAACTGTTCTACGTATGTATGTTGAACTTCGTTCGCACTGTGCGTAGCCAACCATGCCAATCACACAGAGCTCATGCCTGAACACGCTTTCAGTCCCAGGTCCGAGTTTGCGTGTCTCTCTCCCCGTGGTCGCGTGGATTTTTCTGCGAGCCCTCCGCTTTTTTCCCTCCACATTTAGAAGCAACGTGCATTCAGATTATTTGGCTGGAACTGTAAATTTCCGCGCGATAAGCCACTTCGTTGAGGCCATCATTTGTGATAGCCAAGTCGCTTCTGAAAAATATCTACACAGCTCAGTGGGCCTTCGTGGAGTTTACAGTGAGGGAAACAAGTATTTGATCCCCTGCTGATTGGTCTTGGCCATGGTGGAGAGTTTCGAATCTGATTGATTGATTGCTTCTGTGAACAGGTGTCTTTTATACAGGTAACGAGCTGAGATTAGGAGCACACTCTTAAAGGGAGTGCTCCTAATCTCAGCTTGTTACCTGTATAAAAGATACCTGGGAGCCAGAAATCTTTCTGATTGAGAGGGGGTCAAATACTTATTTCCCTCATTAAAACGCAAATCAATTTGTAAAAATTTTGACATGCGTTTTTCTGGATTTTGTTGTTGTTATTCTGTCTCTCACTGTTCAAATAAACCTACCATTAAAATTATAGACTGATCATTTCTTTGTCAGTGGGCAAACGTACTAAATCAGCGGGGGGTCAAATACTTTTTCCCTCACTGTAGGTGCCACCTCGACGCTCCATTGGCCAACCCCACACTGACCAGCGAGGTGGAGTATGGTCAAGCAACCCTGAGAGCCGACACAAAGTGGGGAAAGTTTTCATCCAGCAGCGGATTGACAAAGTGGCGTTCGCCGCTTGTTTGCTGAAGATTGCGGTCTTAATCTGGCAGTCCACCCTGGTTAATACTGCATGCTTCTCGCACAGCAGCCGTTAAAAGATCCCGTGGCGTCGTTCGAAAGAGTAGACCATCGTGTGGCGGCAGTCATGTTAAAAAAATTGAGTGAAGACTTGCAAATGACACAATGGGGATGCACACAACAGCATCATCATCGCTCCCTGCTATTAAACTACGCAAGACTGTGTTTGTAAAATCTACCGGCGTCTTCCTTTGTGATTATATCCCTGCGCTATGAGAATTAATATCACGAATATACCAATTGCACTGTATTATTATTAAAGTGAGAAATATATATTTAACTTATTATGCATAGCAGTCCGGGTGTAATCTCACTGCCTCGAGTCATTTCTCCCATAAGCCAATATTAAATTGTTACCAATCTTCTTCTTGGTTCTTTCGGTAAAGTCACGTAGAAGGGAAATAATAAAAATAAAACATAATAAAATAATTCTCACGACGTCATTCAGACAGCTCGCTCAACCACTCGCCCAACCTCCACACTGTAGGTCACAACAACACACTCTCACTCACTCAATCACTCACCTACTCACTCACCTACTCACGCACCCAATCACTCACCTACTCACTCACCTACTCACTCACCTACTCACTTACCAAATCATTCACCTACTCACTCACCTACTCACTTACCTACTCACTCACCCAATCACTCACCCAATCACTCACCCAATCACTCACCCAATCACTCACCCAATCACTCACCCACTCACTCACCTACTCACTCACCCAATCACTCACCTACTCACCTACTCACTCACCCAATCACTCACCTACTCACTCACCCAATCACTCACCTACTCACGCACTCAACCACTCACCCACCCACTCACCACACTGCAGGTCACCCAACTTTTCTTTCCGTATCTTTCCTCCCACTGCTCCACTTGTGAATTTCCTCCCACCGTCCCATTGCCAAGCACTTTAAACAAAAACCTTGCTTAATAAAAGAGGCACGTCAACTTTTTATCTGTTACAGCTTTGGTAGTGATGCGTAATGCCGGCCACGTGATGTTTTGGGGCTTTGCTCACTGCGTAGCAATCAGATTTACCAGATAATGACAATCACAAGATGATCCACTCACACCTGCACACAAACACACCAACTCGTACCGCCAAACTGAAATATTTACACACCCGCACAGAGACACAAGATCTATTATTGTACAGCCTTGGCAAAAACCACACCTAGACGCCTTTGTCTCCACAGTACTCACGTTCATACACCGGTTATGACAACGCCTGGGATTCGAAGTCAGGTTTGCTGGGTTTAAATAAGTGGACACACACACAGATCCCCCGTAAAGTCATAGGGGTTGTTGGGGAAAGAGCTGTCAGCAGGCACGCCTACACAACCATCACATTAACACACACACCCCAACACTACTGCACACAAACACCTAGACACACACACCTATACACACACAAAGTTGCGCACGAAGTTAGACAATACAAACCCCCACCATGTATGCGTATACTGCCCAGTACCCCAACGCACACACAGCCACTTTCCCTACACAAACTCACCCACATACACAACCACCACTATACACACATCAACAGACACACCACGCCTACACCCATACAAAGATACAAAGACAAAGATCCCCCGTATAGCCTTGACAGACTATTGGGGCAAGTGCTGTTAGCGAGCACCTATGAAGGCCGGCACGGCACACGAGGGGGTGGGTGGCCAACACCACGCCCGGCCGCCTTTGTCTCCCCAGTCATGATGGTTTTACACACCGCACCAGGTACTCATTCGAGGCTGAGTCGACCTAGGGGAGGCCCAGGACCGGTTCAGATAATCTTCACCGGTGTTGGCCGTGAGCGGGAATCTAACTCGGGTCGTCGGGTTCATAGCGCAGCGCGTTAACCGCTGCATCACCGCTCCCTTACACACACACCTCACCACTACCACACATCACCCACATACCTCACCACTCCACACATCACCCACACACCTCACCACTCCACTCACCCCTGACCACTACCACACATCACCCACACACCTCATCACTCCACACACACCTCACCACTACCACACATCACACACACACCTCACCACTCCACACACACACACCTCACCACTACCACACATCACCCACACGCCTGACCACTACCACATACACACACCTCACCACTACCACACATCACCCACCCACACAACTCACCACTACCACACATCACCCACCCACACAACTCACCACTACCACACATTACACACACACCTCACCACTCACCACTACCACACATCACCCACCCACACAACTCACCACTACCACACATCACCCACACAACTCACCACTACCACACATCACACCTCACCACTCACCACTACCACACATCACCCACCCACACAACTCACCACTACCACACATCACCCACACACCTCACCACTACCACACATCACAAAACTCACCACTACCACACATCACCCACACGCCTCACCACTACCACACACACACACACCCCTCACCACTCCACACATCACACACACCCCTCACCACTACCACACACACACACACCCCTCACCACTCCACACATCACACACACACCTCACCACTACCACACATCACACACACCCCTCACCACTACCACACACACACACACCCCTCACCACTCCACACATCACACACACACCTCACCACTACCACACATCACCCACACACCTCACCACTACCACACATCACACACACCCCTCACCACTACCACACATCACACACACCCCTCACCACTCCACACACACCTCACCACTCTACCACACATCACCCACACAACTCACCACTACCACACACCTCACCACTCCCACACATCACACACCCACCTCACCCACAGCAGCGGCGCAATTCCTCGACCCAAAAGTACCGGCGGTGACGTCACCACGGCGTTGGTGCCAGGCTAGGTGCACTTGGGAGGCCGTCACGCGAAGTGTCAAATTTGGTTCCGCTCGCAGGTCGCACGGGACAGACCAAGGTGCTGTGAGGTGAGTGGCAGGCAGAGGGACAAGCTTCGCTCACCACTAAGCCACCAACACACCCTCACCATAACCCCTCACCCTCACCCACCACACACATACAATGTAAACTTGCAGCTTTAGCCACAATGGGCCCTATTCACGGCTGCGTTAACGCGCCGAGAGCTTGCCAATCCCGCTCCCCGTTGCCGCCTCGTTCTCCTCACCACAGCGCTTTCTTCTCCTCACCACCATCACCATCATCACCACATCATCGTTTTCTCCTCACCTCGTCTATGGCCACCTCGTCCGATGCGCTGTCGCACCCCGCCTGTCAATCAACCGTGACGTCACCGCGGCTTATATAAGAAGCCCCGCCCATCGAGGGAGGGGGCGGAGCTAGAGATTTTTTTGTGGGATGACCATTTGAGTGACGTCATGTCCGCCGGGTTAATAAATATTAAACAAATTACTGGAGTGAACGCCGCTGGTGTATCAGGCAGTGGTGCACGAAGCACAATTAATAAAAACTAAATTAAACTCAGCATGTTACCTCAGTAAAAAAAAAATCAATGCGTTCGTCGGTTGGAAATATGTAAATGTTGACCCCTCCCTCTCCGATTAAATGACGTCACGTCCGTGTGGTTGCATGCGAAGTTCTCCGCCGATCTAATGACGTCACCAACATCGCTACAATTAATAAAAAAACTCAACACATTTGTTAATTACACAGCGCGGCCGTCAAAACTCTCTCGCTCTTTGTATATAATAGGGAACGTTTCGGGCAATGGACCTTCTTTCATAGCACATTAATCAAGAGGCAAAGGAGTGAATTGAGAGTTGGAGAGTTTTTAACACTATGGGATCTGATAAGAATTGCATACAAAAGTGTTTTCTGATGTTATCATGAATCCTAAAAGATTTAAAGATGATCGGATTCCTCCAGTATTAAATAAATATTTTAATTCTGTATCAAAAGCCGATAATTTGTGACGTCACCGCAAACTTGCTATGACGTCACCTTCATTTAGGCGCAGATTTTTTCAACGTCATCATCAAGTTCCCTTCGAACCCGCCCACTTTAGCTACGTCACAAGAGACTCACCCCCCCGGTGACGTCATGTATCTCTGTGTGTGTGTGGGGAGGGCTCGTTTTATCGAATACCTGCTGTGTGACGTCACAAATGTCACTTGAACTCCGTTGGTTGTTTGGGTGGGAAACGCGAATTGCTCCGCGATGAATTATATTTTATTGGGGGTTTCGCGAATGAACTGCGAAGTGGGTTAGATGGCGTCAATATAAACGTGTCGTTAAACCCGCCACCACCCGGCACGGCCAATAACGTCACGTATTTACGCGATCGAACTCAGAAAAACCTGTATTATGGATGATATTGGTCAAGAATGCCTACACGTGTTCAACTGGGAAGTTGGAGGTTAATGACACTCCGAACCTGTCAACCCCTTATCAGTGACCTACCTTATTACACACCAATTCAGACCTTATTGGTCTTCACAGTTCCTATGATTGCTTTTTCATTGCTTTCATGGCTTTATTTTGGTGATTTCGAAAAGTGTATTGGTTTAACCATGTTTGTTTGTTGTAGTACAGAGTTAGACTGATGGCCTTAATCTAAGTTGTCTTGTGGTTGTTATTGTTTGACTTGCATCCCACTGAGATTTTTGCACACAGCGTTGGTGTACGGTGCTTTTTCTGCAATATTTTTGCTGTCTTTTCTTGAATTTTCTGTTTGCACTTAGTCACATATTCACTTTAAGATGTTTTTTGTTCATGTTTTTGTTTTTGTTGCGGTTGCACCCGATTCAAGAGCTGAATGGCTCACAGGGCTATACCTAATAAATGAACTTGAACTTGAATCCCGTGCCCTTATACATCTCAACGTTCATCCGACAAAGTCCCATCACAAGGGAGAAATACATTTTTTTTTAAATTGTTACATTTCGATTTAAAGCTTTCGTGACTGCAGGGATTCATCTTCTTGGTTCTTTCGGTAAAGTCACGTAGAATGGAAATAATAAAATGAAGAACAGGGCTGTCGGAAAGACAGCGTCCGAATTCGGACACTGTCTTTCCGACAGCCCTGTTCTTCACCTGAGGACGGCTGCTTGCGTTGTGGCCGAAACGTCGTGAGAATTTTATTTTATTATGTTTTATTTTTATTATTTCCCTTCTACGTGACTTTACCGAAAGAACCAAGAAGAAAAAATTGTTAGTTTAACACGAAGGCTTTCGCGACCGATATCCTCCATAATAGTTGTTTTTGTTGGGTTAGATCGTGTAAATATAAATGTTGTAAAACCCGCCAGCATCCGATACAACCAATTAGTAAGGTTTGTCACGTCAACAGACCATGCCAGTTCGTTACTAGTACAGTACAACTTTGTTTTATTGTACCAGCTCAGGTCTCACTAAGCTATGGGGCCGCCCATAAATGACGTCACGCGATTTTTTAACCCCCTCCCCCTTCGTCACACGGCGTCACAAAGTCAGACCCCCCCTCAAATATGACGTCACAAAGCTCTGCCCCCCCCCAAAAAATATATAAAACATGCTTCAAATCGCTTTAAACTATTGTCATTGTCGTGCGTATTTAATGTGGCGCTGCACTCTGATTTTGTAGAAAAAACATTTATTAAAAAATATATTTAATTAAGTAGAACGTGTTGTTCATATTTATTTAAAGTTGCGCATTTTTATGTAACGTCACATTTCTCACCCCCCCCCCCTCGTCACAAATGTCTGACCCGCCCCCCCCCTAGGTGCGTGACGTCATTTATGGACGGCCCCTATATGTAGCTCTTTCAGAAGCGACCTGACCACACATTATAGCCCATCGATGTGGCCTATCACCACGTGCAAGTTCATAGCGTCCAGCAAATTGTTCCGCAATTCTTGGGTCTCGGAGCGAGCCGGGCAGTGGAGGTTAATGGGATTCTAGATTTGAAGCTTTCGTGACTGCAAAGATTCATATTCTTAGGTTTTTTCGGTTAAGTCACGTAAGTAAAACGTCGTGATTTATTTTCATTTTATTTTTATTTTGATGTTTTACTTACGTGACTTAACCGAAAAAACCTAAGAATATGTTAATGGGATTCTACTATAAACCTTTTTTTTATTTTACCAGGTAAGGCCCCACCGAACTGTTACTTAATTCTAGATTTGAAGCTTTCGTGACTGCAAGGATTCATATTCTTAGGTTTTTTCGGTAAAGTCATGTGACTTTACCGAAAAAACCTAAGAATATGCTACTTAACTCTTTTTCAAAAGTGACCTGGCCACCACAAATGATGGCCCAACTTTCTCATCGCGTGGAATTTTATTGCGACCAAAAGCTTATAGAATGTGGAGGGGGAAAAACTACGGGGAGAGAGAAAGAACATGCAAAACTCCAAATATACAGCAGGAAGGATCGGACCCACGACCTCCTGCATACCAGGCGAGATGGTTAACATCTCGCCACCGTGGCTGGAGGATTGGGCGCCTTCACTAGACGGCTACGACCACATTTGGAAACGTGATTTGTAACCTTAATCCTGACCCGTTGTGTATCGATGGTTCAATGTGAACTTACCATGGGATTGAGGGTCTCCTACAGCTGCGTGTTGTTGTCTTGGTGTGGTCTGGGACTGTTGATGTTTCGCTGCCTTGCCCCAAGCTTGCATTGTTAAAAAATCGGCAGGAATTTCCGTACCTATGCAATTTGTACTCATACGCTTTATTTATACTGGTAGGAACCCACTGGTTCCACCAGCCCACAGGGGATTATTGTGTCCGTCCGTCGTGCAGGGAGGGGCTGGATGGGGAGGGGCTGGGTGGGGAGGGGCTGGTCACCCCGTGGTGCCCTTATAAAACTCAACATTTAACCTACTCACGCCGGCTTGTGCCCGCCCTCAGTCGGGCATATTTGCGGAATACACCACGCCGACGTTGACCCTGCAGGCCATTGACCGAGCAACCCAACGTTACTACCAGCTCCCTCCAGAGAAATGTGTTATCCCCCGTTAATTTAAGTAGTGATCTAGTGACTCTATAGTAGTAAGAAGCCCTCCCTCTGCAGGAGCTAGAACTTCGCAGAAATCCTACTTCATGCAAATTACCGTTTATATTATATTATCTTTAATAATGGAGTGACAGCACAGAGCAATGGAGCGTGCCCACGATGGCTGGAGAAGCTGTTCTCTCGTGCTCTGTTAGGGGACAAAGCTTGTGGAGCTTGAAGAGCTGAATGCAATTAAGAAGAACTCGCAAAACAAACACCGCTTGTGAAAGGCTCAACGCAAGATCTCCCACGAAGTTCATGGTCCACCCTAAACTGCATCGGCACAAACCACGGCAGCAGATGCAGATACCTAATGATGCACAAATTAAAAATAAACTCTCCAGTTGTATGTGAGTGTGGTCATCCAGAACAGACCATACAACGTGTGACGACGCAATGCCCCGGTCCACAATCACAAAGGAGACATCACAGCCATGATAAACTCCGCTTGCTCCTGACGTGGTTGCCTGAATGTGAGATTGTAGTTGTTGTTCTGCAGCAGCAGCAGCAGCCATACGACAAGAAAAAAGAAGGGGACAAAGGTCCCTTGTGTTGTTACCCTGCGGCACACACACACACACACGGGCCGTGTTTGTAGAGGGCCCATAAGCACCCTCGCCCACCACCTTGCGAAATGGCAACGTGCCCCAATAAACATTGCTGGTTCCGATGCTCAAAAAGTCCGGCGAACTTTTATTGGGCTCTCTGTGGAAACAGCGGCGAGTCAGCGGGAAGCATCGCCGGTTAGCGTGCCAACGTTGGTCCAACGTAGCCCCAACGTTGCCCCGAACGATGCACCTTGACCGGGATTGTGGCATCGCGACAGAGCGGGCTGGCGCAGCTGATGAGAACTCGTGCCCTTCTGCATGGGATTTGTCGAGGAGGACGACTTTCTAATTCGCACAGCGAAGCGGATTTTTTGACGCCCGTTCACGGCGCCGTTAATGCCAGTATCAAGCATCAAGTTAATCGGTGTCTATTTGGTGTTTAAACATCTTACCGCCTCCTGCATTATCGCCAGAAAGCCTTGCATTATTTTTTGTTAATCATCTTGTACAGCTGCCACCGAGTGTGCTGTAGACACACAATCACGTTAACTGTTAACATCCCCTGTGACCAACGCAGCCTGGCGAGGCCTCCATCTCCAGCATTGAAATTGACAACGGGGCAGTACATTTATATTACAGCCCATTGGCTTGTGTGAAAGGTGGCGCGCGTGTTCTTCTGGGGCAGCATCATCATCGCGAGCAGTGCAGTGGGGGCTTGGGCAGGAGACGCGATGTTCCGAGTGGCA